TAACAGATTTTTTTTTACAGTGCGCTCGGTGCTCAGCGTTTGGTGGCACCGAGGTGACTATAACCTCACTGCATGTGTGTGTAAATCCCAGCATAGACGGGATCAGAAGTATCCACAGCTTTTATAGGAACCCACCCACTAACATCCAAGACTGGCAAAAGTGAGTCACATTGAATTCTGGGAAAAAAAAGTGCATTAAAAAGCGATTTCCTGCTCAAACAAGGACTGAAGTGGGTCTTTCTGGACGAGGTCTTACACATCGCGGCTCGCGCCAAGTTACCGCTCATTCGTTGCGAAAAGGTTGGCAGGACGACGGAGAACAAAGAACAGCGACAGAATGTTTGCCAGAAACGAACCGTAAAGTCGCTTTAAGTCGCGTGTTTGCTGCTTGTCGTTTGAAGTTTTATTACAAACACGAACTAAACTCTGCAGATGCCAGTGATTAGCACAACTCTTGTTCCTATCTGCTTTTGCTTCCGCTAACTGATTTCTTCCTTTCTCTTAGATGTGGACGAGTGTCAGGCCGTTCCAGGTCTGTGTGCAGGAGGCAACTGCATCAACACTGTGGGCTCCTACGAATGTAAATGTCCCGCCGGCCACCGTCAGAGCGAAACCAACCACAAATGTGAAGGTGAGACTCCAAGTAGACGCAAACAGCGCAGCGTGACGATCGATTCTCTGAGCTTCACGGTTGCTCATCTGCGTGTTTACCGTCTTTATGGAGAAAAAACATTCAGTCAGAATCAGTAAAATACAAAATGAGTGCAACTGTCACACATATTCTACAAACCTAACCGCAATTTACAAACCGTTAGGCCTGCAGCGAAGTGTTGTTCTTGGGGATTTCGTTCTCTAATTCTTCATTTAGTCTGTAAAACAAAACGACAAAGGCAATTTTTCTAAATTTTGAAGTGTAACGAGCAGCTGGAAACGCCACTGAATTCATCCACATGAAGCCAAAATCAAAAGATTTTCAACACTTTTGAAGCTGGAAACTAAAATAAAGACTACAAGACTACTACAAGATGATTCTTTTACATTTTAGCAATCAATCAGCATCTAAAAATCTATCAGCTGTGCTTAACTTGACTTGGTACCAATCAAAAAAAGAACTTTAATTAGATTTTGCTGACGGTGCTGGGATCAGTTTGACAAACCAACAGGGGCTCTTAAAAAGTGACGATGTGTTCGGAGTTAAAGCGATCAACACGTGCACGGAAACACACACACAGCTGAGTGGATTCACATTACAACGTGTTGATTGGGTGGAATTTAAACAATGCCCAGGCTGAACAGTGTGATAGTTAACCAGGCAGGGGTTGAGTCTGCTGGACCGACGCCGACCAGCTCTGTGGGAGGATTACAGAAAGCTCTTAAACTGTTTCAGCCGGACGACATTTATTCTGCCGAACAAGACCTCGGCTGATTATCAGCGTATGAATTATTATCTAAATCCGTCTTTTTATTGGCTTTTATTAGCAGGACTAAGAGCTGAAACAGATACAGGAAGAACACAAGTGTTTGTATTTGCTGGAAACCAGAGTTTCCACCCTCGGATTCATGAGAAGCAATTACCGTGACACACCAAACGGTGATTTATGTCCCAGCGAATAAAGGAGGAAACGGGGAGGATGACTTCACTGAATCCACCAGAGTCCCTGCTACAGTTGTGGTTTTGGGGGAATGCCACCTCGTTTCAGGATTTACTGTAAGGAGAGAGTGAGCGTTTCCAGAGATGCTGCTCGGAGGGATTTGGGGTGTGGATGCTGGAGCCACATTCCAGCCGAGAGAAGGTTTCGGCAGTGACTGCACACGACACAAGACAAGACAAGCAGGAGGTCAGGATTACAGAGTCCTGCAGCCTTTCTGCCCCTCTGTGGTCCAAATGTAACAGATCTGGTTATACTGCTGCACCGCATTGAACAGAACTGGCCACTGATGACTATGTGGTGACAAGAAAGCAGAAAACAGCTGATTGAGACGTCAAATTATACATAAAACACGATTGTGGTCAAAACAGGATTTCCACTAAAGACTGTTTCCAATAATCAGTTTTCAATTAAGTTATAAAGCACAGTTCACAACATATATTATCTCACAGCGCTTAACATAGTAAGGTGAAGACCGCACAAACTAAACAGAGACCCAACAATCCATAGACCAAAAAACCCGTCAATGGGAGGAAAACCACCGACTGAACCAGGCTCAGGGAAGGCGGCCGTCTGCCTCCAACGGTTTGGGTGAGAGTGGGGATGAATCAGTGAAGAAGAATCACATGAACAAAACAAATGCTCACACTGTAAACACAAGAACCAATCGTTGGTTCTCTGGAAACTGAAGGGACACTTAGTTGATGATGGAACTTGTTGACGAAATCAGCTTGTAAAACGTCACTTCACTTGAACTTAAACAGAACTGGAGCTTCCACTCAGGATTGGGTTCTTATAATCAATGAAGAGGCACAGAATTCAAATTTAGTCGGAAAACGAATCATATAAACGAGACAAAAGACTCGAGAACCAACAGTCGGTTCCAGTTTGTGCTTGATAAACTTAAATTTGTTGGCAAAAATCAGCATTTAACACAAAACTCCTCTTGATCAAAACTTAAATATGACAGGAATTAATAAAGAACGAACAATAAACATGTGGTTTCACACACAGGGTGGATTAAACTTCCAAAAAAGGCCTCAAAGTTTCACTGCTGTTTGTCTCCCAGCAAGATTATGCAAAAACTATGAGTTTAAATTACACAAACGAGCAAAGAAGAACCCATTAAACTCTGGTTTTTGCTTGCTTTTATAAACTGCTGATAGACTTCTGGTGTGGGTTTATTGATTTTAGGATTTTCCAGATTGTTTGTGCGTTTGACCCAAATAAAGTGAAGAGAGACGCAGTTCAGAATCAGAACCAGAAAGCCTGTTTGGTCATTATGAGCTCTGCATACATGCAAATAATAAAGAATAATTAAATGATAGTGATAAAAACGTATGACATCAGCCGTGAACGTGGAGCTGTGAGCAACACAATCAGCAGCAGTGTTTGCAAAAGCTCGTTAAAAACAACGGAACAAAAGAACGCTTGTGACGTTTATCTGAAATCACCGATCTGCAGGAAGCGAGTGTTGTTTGTGAAATCTCACCAGCAGCAATCAGAGCAGGTCCTCTGGGGGAAGGCTTTTATTGAAACACAAACAGCCTCGGTGAGCGAAATGATCGAGCCGTTACGATAAAGTGCAGTTAAGCTGTCGCGGCCGTCTGATCGTTCCGGTCACGACGAGGCACCTGGTTTTACTGCCGGCTTCCAGCTCGGTCAACGCTCCGTCCCGTCGGCCTCCTCCTCCTCCTGTCGCTGCCATTTCTGCCTCGCCTTCCATTTTCCTTCCATAAATACAGTCCTCTGGCCCGAAACCAGCTGTTAGCGCCGAACAAAGAAACACTTACGGCATCTGGGAGACTTTCTCATTAGACACTCGGACCTCCTCGTTGCTCGCAGATTCTCACACGTTAGGCTGAGCTCAGGGACGGTTTCACGCTTCAAGGTTTGGAGAAGATGATTAAACAAAACCTGGTTAGATTGCACTGAAAACAATGGACCAAATTAGGTTAATAAGTCATATTATTGCCACTAGTTTAAGTTAAATCAACTGAATCCTCTCAACTGTGTGTTTACTTTTAATGAAAGTCAATTTGAAGTGTCCGATTTTTTCACCGTAAAAACTAAATTTGAATAAGTGTGGACATCAGATATACAATGCCAAGGAAGTTAGGTAGATCGGAATAGAATCGAATTCCATCATTGTTGTTGCTCAGCGATCCTGTCGGTGCATTCACACATAAAACATGTTTAGTCAGAAATGTGTAGCTATAAAATCTAAAACTATAGGAGTAAACAAGTATAATCTCATGTACCTGAAGCTGCACATCTGGATATTGCACATTAACAAACATATGTGAAATTTACTGCTTTAAAGTACATAAGTGCAGGTAAACATATGTGCAGGTTCTATATGAATAAAAGGTGCATATGAGAGAAAATATTTGCACTTTTGAATACTAGTTATAAGGACAAAAAATGCATTTTTAAGTTGATAGAATCCACAAACTGCAGCAGCTCAAACACACTTTTTCACAGTGCATCTACAGTATAGGTGAAGTTTTTCACACGAGTGTTTTGCACGTATAGTTGTGCACACACGTCAGGTTCTGTGTGCAGACATTTATCCAGGTGACACACATTTCCCTCCACATGACGGCAGCCCCTCAGCGCTCCGCCTGCATTCAGTAACGTCTGGCTGCTGCTGCTGCTGCTGCTGCTGCTGACACAAGGTTTATTTGGCGGAGCTTTTACTGCCTCGCCCAGGCCCTCTGCCACCGCTGTCAGACAGGAGTCGGCGGGGGGAAGAACAGCCGCTCGGCCTCCGGGCGTTACTGCAGGACGACGCATGGACACGAGTTACCTGCTCTTTACCCCTACAAAGAAAAACACCTTTCGCTTTTCCAGCTAAATGCACACACACTCACACGCCATATGTCTGCACTAATGCTGTAATTATGCCCCGCGGCGGTGCAGTAATTACATATACGTATAAATAAGCGTGACACATCATAAAAACCCAATACCTTCTGGAACTTCACTCTGGGTTCCCCCCGTCATGGAGCAATGAGGCCCCCTCTCACACAATAATGCAACTTAATGCCGTCATAAAGAGAACCACAGCGAGGTGGGCTCTGCCAAGCGGCGTGCCCGCACTCCAACCACGGTGCGTTTAAATCAGGTCAGCTTGTTACCTTTAACCTGTTGTCATTCCACTTTGGTCATAAACGCTGGATTGGATCGTAGATGTCATTTTTTGCACCACATTGGTTTCGCCTTTGACTATTATAGAAAAATAATGGTTCTTAAATGGTTCTTCAGAAGGCTGTCTGGCTCTGAGTCGAAGAAACTCTTTATTTATGTGGTGGTGCTTCACGTGCTTTATGTGGTTCTTTAAGGTATTTCATTTATTATGTTGTGTTTGGCTTGAATAGGATAAAATTAGAGCTGCGGCTGAAGATATTTTCATCATCGATGAATCAGAAAATGATGAGAAACGCTCCTTAAAGTTTCTCAAATCCAAAGTTTGCATCTAAACATGTTCTTCTGTCTGACTAAGAACCCAACATATTATTGCGTTCCAATGGAAGGAACCTAGAAAAGCTGCAAATTCTTACATTTGACTATAGTTTTTGCATGAAAATGACTTATGAAGTCCTGTTATCGAAATAAAACCAAGTGGGCCCTCAAAGACATATCCTGAAAAGATTCCTTAAAGAACCTATTTTTGCTAAAAGTCTCATTTCTGGTGGCTAAAGGAACCGTTTCAGATGGTTCTTTGGGGCACGTTGGTTTTGCCTTGCAATATTATAGAAAAATAATAGTTCTTAAATGGTTCTTCAGAAGGATCTCTGGCTCATAAGTTGAAGAAACTCTTTGTTTAGGCGGTGGTTCTTCATCTGCTTTATGTGGTTCTTTAAGGTATTTTATTTAATGTGTTCTGTAATTTGGTTTGAAGGCAGGTATTAGCAGAAAATTTATCCTGCAGCTAACAATTAATTTTATTATCGATGCATTATTTGGTTGATAAAACATCAGAAAACAGTGAAAAACATCCATTGCAGTTTCCCAGATTCCATGGATACAGCTTCTAACATGTTGTTCTGTTTGATAAACAGACCAAAACCAAAAATATCTAAGGGAAGGAACCCAAAAATGCTGCAGATTTCTACATTTAATGACAAGCAAGTGCTGTTATCAAAATAGAGCAAAGTGGGTCTACAAAGAACTGTCCTGAAAACCGATTTCTAAGGACCTGATTTTTTGTCTTCAGACCACCATTTGTAGTGCCTAAAGTTTGATGGTTCTTCGCGACACCGTTGAGGTTCCTTTAACGAACCAGTTGATAAAAGGTTCTCTTTGGAAAGACAAATGGTTCTTCTGTGGCATCACTGCAAAGATTCCTTTTCACTTCCAGTTAACACCTTCATGTTTCTGAGCGAATGACTCCTATGGACAGGAGTGATTCACCTGCACACACAGTCATGACTCGATAATCCGACCCTCAACAATCCTAAACCTTGCTGTCCGACAGGTTTTTAGGAAAAATTAAGGAAGACCATAAAAAATAGCCTTAACATACCGACAGCCTTGGATTCCGACATGACATTTTCACAAATAAGGATAACAGCGTATTATCTGACTGAACAAGATTTACTTACCTGTCGTGTCAACCGATAGGCCCATGCACAAACGCATCGGTCAGTTAGACGTGAAATCCAGCGAGTGTTCTAACAATACACTAGTTATTATAACAACTATAAACAATAAATATGAACAACAAATGAGCCTTCAACCATCAAGCCCTCCTTGTATCTAGATCTCCGTCTTGACAATCCAACAGCCTTGCTATCCGACATAAAAGAAGGATTTACATTTAGCGTCGGATTATCAAGTCATGACTGTATATTTGATGAGAGCGTGGGTCAATGAGCTGGTGGTGGAACTGCTCAGCTCGTTGTCTCGTCCGTGCAGTTGTAATCTCTGGTGTCTTTTGTTTGTTTTACATGTAATTTGATTAGTTCTCTTGCTGTTGTTTCCTTCATCGTTCAGCTGCACAGTTTACTATTGCATGGTTCCTGCGTTTACATGTTTGGCCGATGAGCCTGACTTTTTAGCCCGAATGGAACAAACAAGAAGTGAAGTAATCCCGCTTCGCTTTGCCTGATTCTCCCTGAGGGAGAATCTGCTGCTCCGGAGCAATAACCTTTTTACTGCGGCGTGCTACTGCACAAACAAAGACATTCTGAACTCATGATGGTATTTACGACCCTCAGATATCGACGAGTGCAGCACCATCCCCGGAGTGTGCGACGGAGGCGAGTGCACCAACACGGCCGGTAGCTACGTCTGCACCTGTCCGCGAGGCTACAGCTCCAGCGCAGACGGATCCAGATGTGTGGGTGAGTCACGTAAACACACTTTGTCAATGTTTCCCCCTCTCGTTTGTGCATTTCCTCGCCCCCCGGCCGGCTCCACATCTGGCCGCCGCCACCATCACCGCTCCCTCCGAGCGGCCTTCTGATGAGTCAAGCTGGCCTGCAGACCTGCAGTCGCCATGTGCACACAAACACGCTTGCACGCACTGTTTGGCCTCGACGGCATCAATCTGCTCTAATGTTAGCGCTCCTCCTGACTCATTTACAGACTGCGCATACCTCAGCGACATGTCCAATGAAACACCACCAGGTATTAATGTGTTCCTGCAGTCGTCGCCCCTTGTGGCAGCTTTGGTGAAGCACAGCCAGGTGTTTGGATATTATTTCAAGATTTCGCTCCAGAGCGGACGGTTCAGGGTCGATTTGTTTCACCCAGGCAGATTCTCCCCCAATAAAAACCCGCTGCACAAAGCCTCTGGAGGGCTGTAATTGAAGACATGCTTCCCCTCGGTTTAGCATCAATGTGATATTCCCCCTATTTTAGCTATTTCCTGGTTTTCACCCGTCATCTGTGGGACTTAATTGGCTTCTCGGGTTTGTTTTGGAAAAGAGGAGTGCGGTCGGATGCGTCAAGAAGTCCGGATCACAGGTGGCCACATGTGCGACGCCATAAACTGGCCTCGCAGGTAGAGTGTGAGCTCGTCTGTCATGTAGCTGCAATGTAACCGACATGTGGTGTTTAAAGGGGAAACAGAGAGGAAATATGGCACCGCTTAGTCCAACAAAGTGAGACCGATACACACAATATGTATGAAAATATGCAGACAGGGAACATCACACACCTACATGTGACTGAACATCTCATTTCATAAATCCACGAGCGTTAATATGTCTCTGAGTGGGTTTGTCTTTTTTTTGAGCTTCGCTGTGGAGATTTATTATCAGAGTAAAAACACCTTTTAGCCACAGTGAGTTCAGGTGCTAAAGCTGGTTTAGGCCTGACGGTTGGTACAGGTTATTGTCCCAAAGGTGCCAGATAGACCTGAGCTTTATTTCCTTGTTCAGTTAAAAATGAGAAAAGCAATCAGCTCCAATCATACAAACCGGGCAAACATGTGCACAAATGTATGTAGACTGTGGTCTTCTTCCCTGTTAAGCCACCTAAGATACATATAAGTCCTGGATAAAGCCGAGAAATGAGCACGATGATACAGAAACGTGTACAAAGAAGTAAAAAGATTAGAAAGATCAAAGTTGATATTGGAAAGCAGCCAAAATGTGGTCAGAGATGACGAAATTGTGAATGTTCTGCATTTATTTATTGCCATTTAACCTTCATCTGTAAAATATCACAAAGAAATTTTGTCAAATCAACTCATCTTTTCTAGTTTACTGAAAGTAAATGCATAAATTTTGCTAATTTCGAGTTATTTCAGCTTTTTTTCCCCAGAAGTTATTTCAGAGTTCTTTAAATTTGAGGCATTTTCTCCTAAAATAATAAGTTCAGAGTTCACTCAACTTATTTAATTAAGTTTAAAAGGAAACAAAACTAATGCAGACTTCCCAGGATGCATTGCTAGTGGTGTAAAACTCAGCAGTTGCTGCATGTCTTTGTTAACTTCTGTTTTTTTCTTTTCTTGAAAATCCAAATAAATCTTTCTATGACAAAACTAGCACTAAACTCATTCTCTGTACCGGTAGAATTATAACTTTTTCTCACTGTAGCCAGAAGCAGCTTCACAGATTGGCTGAATTTATTCATTGGACTCAATGTTCTCCTGAAGAAGAATCTCTTTAAACCTAGAAAATGTTAAAGCAACGCACCGTAGTGTCTCCACGATTAGTTGATTCAACTCACAATCTTGAGTTTGTTCAACTTAAATTCTCAAGTTCAGTTAATTTAACTTTAGTTTTACATTTTTACAACTCAGAAGATGACTTGGAGCTAATAAATGAGCCGAACTTCATTTAACTCACGTTGTTAAGGCAGCAGTCGCGCTTACGTTTGCTGATTTACAGAGAAGCTCGGTTCTATAAAACTCTTTACAACGTGTTCCTCGTTCACACGTCGTCGGACCGAGCTGCTCTTCGAGGCGCCGGAGGGGGCGAAGGACTGATGAAGCTCCTCAAACGAACCTGGTGGAGCTTTAGAAAGACGAGGATAAAGACAGATAAAGGTTTTAGCTCGCAGCCTCGCGTGCTTCCACTCACGTGTTCGTCGCTTTACAAACCGACTCAGAGACCCAACGGTTCCCCATCTGTCTGTCTTTATGCGTGTCCATATTTTTTTTCTCCCTCCTTCTTCTTTTCCCTGAAGTGATATATCACTCTCGCGCTTTATTTTCTGCCTTTTGCCACTCCATCTTTCCACACCGAAGCTCATTCCTCGGTGAATTACAACAGAAAGTCTCGCTGTTTACTCTGGAAGCGCCGTTTGCATACCTCTCTGTCTTGTTCCCCCCGTCGTCTGGCTGTTTGTTTTACTTCTCATCCTCCTTATCTGTCTTTATGTTCTTTGACCTTTTTCTTGCTCCACATCTGGATCCTACACCTTGCTTCTAGCAGCTCGCTAAAAGAGGGGGGGGATATGACAGAAAAAGCAAAATAAAACAGGTGCCAGACACAACCTCCACATCTCCTTCCTCCGCCTCTACTCCCAAGAAGACGAAGATAAGTAAACCCAAGAAAAACCAGACGATCCAGAGTCACACTCAGACTCGAACCTGAAAAGAAAGACAAAATAAACTGTGACTGATGCACTTTGACTGTACCGTTTGATCTCCTTTTGCGGTCGCAGTATAAAGCGAATAAACAAGACCGAAGCCTCTTTTACGGGGCTGATTTGCTCGCCGGGGCTCGCGTTTTTAGGAGCAGGATGTTTGTTCTGGTCTGGAGGCTGCGCTGTGTGTCCTGATGTACTGTAACTGTGGTGAAGGAGGCCAGTTAGCTGCTGGAGGGGTGGTGGTGGGGTTGACAGTAATCAGAGCCTAATGTCCTGTCACACGGTGGGAAACAAAAAAAAAAGAAAAGAAGAGCTGTCCAGTCAGTCAGTCTGTAAAAACACCTCTCCAAATGAAAGCATATGCCGGCGCAGTGGAGCAACACCAAAAACCGGCGTCTGGATTCAATTTAAGTCATCATCGTCCTCATCAGCCGGCCGCTGCCTCTCGGCTCCAGCTAGCTCGGTCCTGCGGGATGTTTTCAAGCCGGGCTGTGGGGATGTGAACTCAGGTGATAATGCTGGTTTAGCTTTGGTTGTCAGTTCTGTTCATCTTCCTGAAGGTGCTGGATGGGACTGAAATCAGGGTTTTGATGAGCTACACAGGTCTAAAGACACTATTGTAGTTTTGTGATGCATAAAAAAATTTGTCAATTAATTGAATTAGCAATTTCCCTGAGATTTTGTACCGAAGGGATCAATAAAGGTTTATTCTAATTCAATAATTTAAGGTCTACAGCTCAGCTTAAATCACACTAAACATGCACAAATGTACACAAATATATATATATATAGTGTGGTGTTCCCATGCTTTAAGCCAGTGGTTCTCAAACTGGGGGTCGGGACCCTCTTTGGGGTCCCAAGATAATTTCAGGGGGTCGCCAGATCATTGTAAAAAAAAACAAAAAAGACTACATTTATCAAATGAATTTGTATTAGTGCTGTCAAAATGAAAAGTGTTTACTTCCTCCCTCTCCTTTTTCAATCTTGTTAATATTATGATTTGATTATGAGGTAGTAGTTTTCTTTTATGCTTTTTTAATGCTCTTTTTTAAACTGTTTTCTTTTTTTCCCTTTAACTTGTTCAAAATAACTTCAATTCATTCATTCATTTAAAGGAAAATTGACGTGTTAATGTAAAGAGATTAATCTGTGGAATCAATACATTCATTTTTAACGCATTAATGCATGAACACCAAATTAAAAATTTAAATTGGGGGCATCACGAACACAAACTTATGTTAACTTGAGGGTCGTGGCTCAAAAAGTTTGAGAACCTCTGCTATAAGTCATGTAGTCTCTGGACAAAGTGAAGAAAGTTGCATGACGACAGAAAAATGCACAAAAAAACAAGTGAAAAAAAAGCAAACAGAGGAAATGGTGACTATTCTGCGCTTGTATATCAACTTCTAATCTCACATTATAAAACAACAGTCAGCATAATTAAACCTGAAATTTCTCGTTTATACTTTCACAACCTCAAAGTTCTTTTTGATTGTGCAAATCTGTCATTAACGTGCACGCATCCGTTCAGTGGACGTGAATCTGTGCTCGCATGTAAATGTGAGCATTGTGCTGTGCGAGCTCCAGACGCTGCTCAGCCCCTCATGTTCTATCTAATTGGCAAGAATTGCTCCACATGGAACTGATTAATTCCAGACTGCTGGCTCATTAGTGAGTTAATCGACGTGTGCTCCTCCCTCCGCCGCCCCTCGCCCAGCCTCTGCCCCGCTTTCTGTAAATGCTGCTAAAATCCTCTAAAGTCACACCCACACACATTCCCTCCCTCTTTCTGTTTCTCGGGGTGTTTTCCTGAAATACCCAGAATCCCCGGGTCTCCCCTCTTACTCTTTGAACCCAGCCCCCCTCCTCTCCCACCCCGTTGACCCCGACCTGGAACACTGGAACAAATAGGACCCCCTTTTTGGAGGCCCTTCAGATGCCTGCTGTTAGTTGAGACCCCAGGAAACCTTTTCTCCCACTGCAGCCCGTAAAGCAGCTTCCTCCTGAGCCGCCACGCAGAGGGCAGCTCGGTCCAACGACCTCTGACGTGTTGAATCGGAAGCTTTATTGTCACTGACGGTGAAATTTCAAAGTTAAAGCAAGAAGACGGCCCATAAAAAGACATTTTTAAAACCTAATAAATGCGAGAACGGTCGCTGCTTAATGTGCAAAGTGTTGCAGCGGCGAAGGCAGATGTTGTTGAGTAACGTGTAGACGGCGTTTCTCTGCCCTGTTTGTGTGAAACCTTCAAATCCGTAGCACATGTAGTCTCAGTCAACGGTGAGGTCACGGTGTGCCGGTACATTGTGGAGTAAACGAGATGTCACTGCGGCCAGATGGGAAGTCAGATCACAGGAGAACAATAGAAACACGGAGCTCGTCAGGGTTTTATATGGACGAAAGTGGAACAAAGAGAGTCCCTTTTTTGTTTCCCAGAGTGTCGTTTTGACTTGTTGTAACATGTCTGTATATATTGGGGTAATTGGTCTGCAGTTAGATGAAGCTTTTTTTTTTTTTTTTACCTTAGTGGTACTCAAAGCACTTACAATGTGTTTCCCATTCACCCATTAACACACCAATGGCGACAGAGCTGCCATGCATTCCTGCCTGCCATTGGGGGCAACTTAGAGTTCAGTGTCTTGCACTAGGCCCGTGTATGGACGGGGGTTGAACCACCAACCTTGGGATTAGAGGACATATATATAGACATTATATTATGTCTATTTATATATACTGAAAATATTATAAACACAGCATGTATTGTATGAGATTTTCTACATTTAGGGGAAAAAGTATTTGCTGTCCAATCTTTTTTAAAGCAGCAATGAAACAACCAAAAACACTGAAAATGTTAATGTCCGGATGAAAAGTGGGGTCAAAAGCCAGCGTGTCCACTGTTTGCATCACATAGAGCCACGAATCTGTGACGCAGGAGTTTAATGAGGTTGTCTAATGTTGTCCTACTTTTCCTGAAGGGCTCAATAAAGGACATTCTTGGGCACATAATCATGTTCAGAAATGATTTCATAGATTAAAAAAAACAGTAAATTTGTGGACTGTCCGGCTGAACTGCAGCAGCCGGCAGCCTGTTCTTGTCTCTCTTGTCTTTATGGTGGCCTTTACTAGTCTCCCTGCACTGGTCACTGTCTGATCTTTGTCCTTTAAAGCCACACCTGAGACACATTCGGCTAAATTTAACTCTCATTTGAACAATAGGAATCAGATTTCTTTTTCTCAGGCATGTTTGAAGTCATTTATACATATTTGGTGTTTTGTATGCGATACCTTTACCTGAAACACAACTAATAGGTATCATGTAAATGCGTTGATATGAACTTTTCTAAATGTCATAACAGAACAACCTCAAACACCAGATGATGTTATTAAACCGTGTCTTTATATGTGCATGCGTTATCATCATTTTTCAGTCACCTAATCGTGTCTCCTGCGTCCTCAGATCACCGTATGGGAACCTGCTTCTCCGCTCTGGTTAACGGACGCTGTGCTGCAGAGCTGAGCGGTCAGTACACCAAGATGCAGTGCTGCTGTGACACCGGACGCTGCTGGGCTTTGGGGCAAATCCCCGAGATGTGCCCCGTCAGAGGGTCTGGTGAGTATACGCAGCACACGGGACGGTTCGTATGTTCGTATGTTTCCTGATTTTCATCAAAAGGGTGGACATGAACTCCAAACTAGGACAGAACCTCCATCGCCTCCTTCTTCCTCCGCTGACAAAAACAAAGCAAGATTCTGTCTAACTTGGCACGAACAAAGGCGGTAAATAAAGTCATGACAGCCTAAATGGCTCGTGAGCCAAATGAATTTAACACAGTAATGTGAAACTAGACGAGCCTGACGCTGCAGGAGAGAAGCTGCTTCGAGTTTATATGTGATGCGTCTGACAGACGAGCGAGAGCATCCACTCGGGCTGACGCATGATGTCATGAGCGCAGTCCAAACAAGAAAAGATGGAAAGGATTAGCCGGATAATTACCCGTCATCTCTTCTCTTTAGCAGGAATTCAGAAAAATATTCATCTGCGTGAGAAGTGTGATCCATAACTGATCTGTTGCAGAGCGTTCTGCCTCTTTGAGCTCCACACTGAGACGTGAGCGCTTTGATTTAGTGAGAATGTCAAACTAGGTGAAGGATGAACAACATTCTGTACATAAAGTACATCCATTCATACATGTAGATATACAGCAGACGTACTGTAGGTGCTCATCTAAGCAGATCAGATGTGCATGTTTCTGTCTGATTACTTTAGCAACGCTCACATTTGCACCCCTTTCTGATGGCATCCGAACATGTCTGAATGAGCGCGCTGCTTACTTTTACATTAAAGCTGCAACAACAAGGTCGGACTGAGTAACACTTAGCTTTCAAACTGGCAAAAGCATTCACAAGTACATTTACAGTCCCCCGCGCCGAGTGATTTCAGCATCAAAAACACTTTAATTCACTTTGCCCTCCAGCTTCACGTTGAAATTCTGTTCCAGCTGTTTGTAGGAGTCTTTCCTCTGAGTTTAATAAACACCTGCAGGATCGACGTGAGCGTCTCAAAAGCAAGGGAGTTGCACGAGTCACTAGCTACGTAGCAGTCGTCCTCAGGTTGGAGCTCCATCGCAGCTGTCAGGATGTTTTTATTTAACTGTTGGTGAAGTCAACGTCAGATTATCGTCACACATGGAGGGAATTTTCAACGAACCAGGCTGTTAGTTATTTGAACAGTTTGATAAGCTGCCGTTAGAGCAGATTCAGTCTTTTGTGCATTAATATGATGCATCACTTCTCGCATGAAGACACGGCGCCGACTGTCTCGGTCACTGTGGTGTCTGAATGAAGGAGCATTCATGTAGAAGTGACCTATGTCTGAATTGTTTTCGCTTTAGCAGACTGATAAAGCAGCAGCGTTGTGTATCTCATGTCTGAAAACCTGCAGCAGATGGTCAACTTCACAACAACTATAAAAGTCTTTCTGAAATCTGCAGTTTGAGAAAACGCCTCAAGTGCTCAACAGCTTCAAGTGTGCAGGTTGATTTAGTGCGTCTGAATTACGGCAACAGTCCGCATAAACAGATTTGTTGAAATATGAGTCACGAATGTTGGCTGATTTGTTTCCTGTTGTTTCGTCTCTCTCGTAGACGAGTACCGGCGCCTGTGCATCGTGGGCGTTCCCCAAGGTCACGGCCTCCCTCACGTCTACCCCAACACGCACTTCAACAACGGCAACGACAACTACGGGTTCAGGTTCCCCAGCTTGCCCAACGGCAACGGCAACGGCGGGATCGGAGGCAACGGAGGAGGAGGAGGCGGCTTTGGAGGCAACGGAGGAGGTTTCGGAGGCAACGGAGGAGGACCGAACCACCAGCACATCGGTCAGTGACTCCTTGGATCGTGCTGCTGCACCAATGATAGCCCCAGTAATCCGGGCCCACCAGAACCCATGTCCCGTACCCATCCTGTATGCTTATTAGTAGTGCTGTTTTCACATTGCACCTTTTTGTACTTTTCTAATGCTCTGTTTTATTGTAAATACCAACAATTTGTGCCCCTTTTTTTGTAAATATCAGCATTTTTGACACCTTAGTTCTATTTTTTTTATGTGTGAGCTACCTTAAATAAAAAATAAATCTGATTTACTGATTTAGATGAACCTTTTGGATGAGTTAGATTGATGTGATAATGTTGGAAATTGTGTCAATCTAATGTTAGTCTGTAATTTAAACTCATATTTGTGCAACAGTTGATTAAAAGCTAAACTCAAGTTGAGGTAACTTAATGAAATCGGCTTGATAACTAAGTTTCTTCACGTTGAAGTCAGGATTTCAAGTCCAATCTTTTACCTACTTAACATTGGCGCGACTTAATTTCTTTAATTTGCCGACTGAAAAACGTGTGCTAATTAAGTAAGTGACACTTTACACAAAAATTCCTATTAAACACTTGAAAATAATAGTTGGAACAGCTTAATTTTTTATGAATAATCAACTTAAAAACCTGTATTTATGCTACCAATCTTTGACTAGGTAGTAACTTAAGAGATAAGTAAGTAAGTAAGTAAAACTTCTTCCACAAACTCAATTTAGTTTGTTGTTTGAACATAATTTTACTCGAAATTGGTCATAACTCAGAAAGACTGAAGCAAACTGTTCATTTCTTGTCAAACCCAAACATTAATGCCACAAGAGAAGAGCAGCTGGAGCTCCTACATCTAATTAAATTGTCATCTGTTTGTCTGTTGTGTTTTTTCAGGCACTGTGTCCGTGAACAACACCATCGACGTGTGCAAACACTTCACCAACCTGTGTCTGAACGGACGCTGCATCCCGACGCCTACCAGCTACCGCTGCGAGTGCAACATGGGCTACAAGCAGGACGTTCGCGGGGAGTGCATCGGTGAGAACATGTACATGCAGAGTCACTCAGTGTGGACACATAGTGAGTGTGACAGTGCCACAGTCAATTGTGTGCACTGCACTGCCATCTTCTGCCAATTTAAGGAACTCGGCACAAGTGAAGGTGGCAGGAGAAATCTGCTAGAACGTGGCTCGTGCTCTGTGTTTTTGTTAGTTCAATCCGTGCCCTCGTTTATTCTCTGTGTCCTCCTCCCTCCAGATGTGGATGAGTGTGTGAGCAATCCATGCATCAATGGAGACTGTGTCAACACACCTGGATCGTACCACTGCAAGTGCCACGAGGGGTATCAGGGAACCTCCACCAAACAGGCCTGCATCGGTATGTCTGACTCTAACGTCAACACGATCGCTAATTAGCTGCATAAATGTTCCTGAAGCAGTTGTGAAACATACTAAAGCTGCAGGAACACCAATGTTTGGTTTTGTTTCCTCTCTTCAGACATCGACGAGTGCATCGTGAACGGAGTGATGTGTCGCAACGGCCGCTGTGTCAACACCGAGGGAAGCTTCCAGTGTATCTGCAACGCCGGCTTTGAGCTCACTCCAGATGGAAAGAACTGCATCGGTGAGGAGCAAACACAAACAGACGGAAATCTGCACAACCAACACATTTATGGCTCGATTAGGGTGAATTCATACAAATACAGCGTCTGCATGTACTGGATAGAGTCTAGCATGGAGGTGTATTAAAGAGCTTAAGTTTGAGTTAAACTGTTGCTGTTGCTGCATTGTCTCAGATTTCGTTTTAGTTATTTGGGACACGAAACTGAGTTCTTTAAGAGATTTTAGTTGTATTATGAGAATTTCAAAAAAAACATCTTTCCTTCAAAAATCATTTTAAAGGATCAATATCTCCAGAAATATAACTTCTACAGCCTTAGAATTTGGTGAGAAGATAGTTTCCAGCAGATCCAAATGATTAAATGGCTCCAGCAGAGGCCGAATGTTTAATTATTGACCTTTGAAAATGGAGAAAGATGCAGCATTTTTAAACAAGGGTAGTATTGGGGCCACTGAAGGTTCCTTTAAGTGTATATATATATGTAAATGTGTCCATATTTCTCCCTAAAAATACAATCATTTGTTGACATTTCACCAACCTTTGAGGGCCCTAACATCAGAAGAATTTGATGAGTCGTAAGTATGGCAAGACGAGGTTCCCGTTTTTAGATATTTTGCCAAAATGATGATGTTGACTCAATCATAGGAAACAAAAACTAGTGTTCATAGCAGTCTAAATGTTGTCTTTATATGTGCAAAGCTAAAAGGCGCTTCCATGTTGAAACTTAACAACATGTGAGACTGATTTTTGCAATGATGCACCGTCAGACTTTCTGAATTCTGTCCGACTGACCACACTGCGTGTTGCATGATCGAGGTGGATGATCTGCCGTGTCCACTCGTAGACTCTTTCTTCGTATCAGTGAGTCCAATCCGTCATAAAAGCGCAGGAAGCTGTTTACTGACCTCCTGCTATCTGTTCCCAGAGTAATTACTGCCTGAATCCTAAATAGATGATCTCACTTAATGAATTCAACTTTACGTGACTTGGCGGCGGACGCATTTGGGTTTTTGGTTGACTCACACCGGCCCTGCATGATGAATGAGACTGATTTATGACATCTTAATGCCCTAAATCATCATGTAAATCTGATTTAAATTGTTATGTTTATGCTCTTGTGAAAGTGATTCTTCATCTCAATGAGTACAACCAAAAACAGTCTTCATCTTTATCCAACTGACCCAATTTCTTGTATTTCCAGACCACGACGAGTGCGCCACCACCAACATGTGTCTCAACGGCATGTGCATCAACGAGGACGGCAGCTTCAAGTGCATCTGCAAACCCGGCTTCGCTCTGGCGTCTAACGGACGCTACTGCACCGGTACGTCTGGTGTCTTTAGCACAAACGCTGACCTGAAAACCTGGAAAAAGAGTCAAACGGGCTGATTCAAAACAGCAGTGACAGATTTGGTGTTCTTTGAAATCCTGCAGATTCCTTTTTTTTTTTTTTTTTTTTTTTATTCGTGCTCAGTTTTGTTTCAGACGTCAGACTGTTCTAAACTATGCACGGTCCGGCAGTGGAGGAGATAGATGAGAGCTGAATTTATGAGTCTCTGCTGACAGATTTTGTCTGGATGCGTCAGGAATAGCTGCCATTGCATTGCAGTCACACCATTACACAGGCTGCACAGGTGCATGTTCCAAATACACATATCTGAACCAGATCGTGTAAACTCCCAGTGACCTGATTCCTCAGTAAACATTCTGATTTCTGTGGTGTCTTTGCAAAATTGCACATGTTTACTTCTCTTTTTTACTTCATGCATACAGCTTATTATTAATGTTTGATCAAATCTTCTCTGCTGTGCATGAGTTGTAAGATCATGAGAGATTTTTGATTTTGCAGGCATTTTAACCTGCTCTATGGCATATATAAAGCAAACCCCACGATGCACTCTCACTCTAATTTATCTAAGCTGTTCTCAACATGCATCTTATCGTGTAAACTGGATCTGACATTACGCATCTGCTCCCCATCAGACATCGATGAGTGTCAGACGCCCGGCATTTGCATGAACGGCCGCTGCATCAACTCCGAGGGCTCCTTCCGCTGCGAGTGTCCGCCGGGCCTGGCCATCGGCGTGGACGGGAGGGTTTGCGTGGACACGCACATGAGAACCACCTGCTACGGAGCCATAAAGATGGGCACGTGCTCGCGTCCGTTCCCCGGCGCCGTCACCAAGTCCGAGTGCTGCTGCGCGAATCCAGAGCACGGCTTCGGAGAACCGTGTCAGCCCTGCCCCTCCAGGAACTCAGGTATCAGCTTTGTTTGAAGCTGCATGAGCTGAATATTTGTTTTTCTCTCCCGTGTTTAGAGCACAACCACCAACTCAAACAAAGAGCTTCAGTGTTCCTCTCTTGTCATTTGTCTTCCAGCTGAGTTCCAGGCTGTTTGCAGCAGTGGTATCGGCATCACAGCTGATGGCAGAGGTGAGCGGGAATGTTGCCACATTGTTCTAAAAAACACCCATTTATTCTCCATCCTCCACATGTGATATCTGCTAGTCGTCAGTCTTAAATGACAGGAAAAAGGCTTTTTGAATTCCACCTGCTCCACTGCAACATCCACCTAATCCATGTGTATAAAGTGCCACTAACGCGTCATGTATTGTTGATAACTGAGCATCAGAATCTGCACAATTTGCACAAAACTGTAGGTTCACTTGAAACATGCTCTTTGTTTTTTACACATATCAACACCTGCATAGAAATTGAACATTTATTCTCCTTTCTTTAACCTGTTGCACTTGTTTAAATGCATGAAGAAGAGTCAAATTCCTTGTCTGTGTTCACATATTTAAAGCTGATTCTGATTCTCTCAGACATCAACGAGTGCGCCTTGGACCCAGACATTTGCCAGAACGGTATATGCGAGAACCTCCGAGGAAGCTACCGCTGCATCTGTAACATCGGCTACGAGTCTGACACGAGCGGCAAGAACTGCGTTGGTGAGTCTTGGTTCCTTCTTAAAGCAGAACATCCCGAGTTAGCAAACTTAGCTCTTGTTGGAAAGCGAGACTCGGAAAATGTAAGCAGTGAGGAGCATGCAAACCGATTAGACGGACAACTTTTTATCTGCTTGACACTGTCTGCCTTTAAAAGACAGTTGTGATGATTTGCATGTTTAGAGAGAAGTTTTGAAGTAACGAATAAGAGGATTCTCTTTGTCCTCCCTGCAGACATCAATGAGTGTCTGGTGAACCGTCTCCTCTGTGACAACGGTCTGTGCAGAAACACTCCGGGCTCCTACACCTGCTCCTGTCCGAAAGGATTCGTCTTCAAACCCGACTCGGAGACCTGCGAAGGTGAACGAACTCACACAAAGACGTGTTTTGTCATTTGTACCAACAACCGAGGTCGTCTCCAGGTGACATTATTCCCAGATGTGCTGCTCCTCGTTTCCAGGAAACGTGCCTCATGGAAGGAGCACGTTGAGTTTGTAGCCAGTCGCCGGTGAGTTTGAATCAGGCCCTAACCTCAGGTGTGTGTTTGCACATGTTTCAGATATCAACGAGTGCGAGTCCAGCCCGTGCATCAACGGAGCGTGCCGGAACGTGGCCGGGTCCTTCAACTGCGAGTGCACCCACGGCAGCAAGCTGGACTCCACCAACACCATCTGCGTGGGTAAGACATCCACCCGACCCAACGCTTGAACCGACGAGGCACCGCAGGGTCCAGGAAACGAGTTGTGCGTGATGAAGGTTGCACGCTGAGGCACGAATGTCACTGAGAAATAACGGATGGAGGAGTCTTTTCTTCCTAATCAGCTTAATCCAGGTTTACGCTCTACTTTGGTAAATAAACAGCGAGGCGGTTCAAGTTTCCAGGAGCCATCCAGAGGCATTATCATCCTCACATGATCTCACAGGCAAAATGGCACACGCAGATGATTTATTAGATAAACGCTCGCATGCATGGCCTCGGTTCGCATGGAGATTGTTTTACTTCGTAGAGATCTGCCGCGGATTCAGAATGACATGCGGTATGTAAGACTCTCTGCTGAGTTTAGAAATTCCACTTGTTTGGGGCTTTGTTTCTTTTGGGAAATCATTGTGAGAATGCCGCATGCTGATACAGAATACAGATGTTATTGTAACTGGAAGGGAAAATGAGTCATTAAGTAAATACTCATACATAGTGCATGAGCTGGCTCCGTCAGAGGCCGACAAATTCCTCTGGTTTAGTTCAAGAAAGGGAAAGCAAACTGCGGTTCGGCGTTCGGGTGGCCTTGCGGTTTTCGGAGAAGAGGTGTCGCTGTTATGACTGTACGCTCGTTCACTTCATTAGGAATCCAGATTAAATTTAATGATGCGAGAGCTTCGCCTCAACCTGCAGCCGCACACGAGGTTTATGGCTCTTAAAGGTGACATTTTCATTGTTCTTGTGGTTTAATATGTTGGCATAGTGGTGAATTAGCGGCGTTTTGATGAGCAGATCTGGGTTTTGTTTGCGTAGAGTGTGCGTAATACGGAAAAAACAGAACGGCTTTACTGGATTGGAAATACCCTCGGCACGTTTGTTAGGCTTCTTGTTGTTTTGGCCGTTTCAGATGGAAAACGCTGCTGAATGTAAACTTAACTGTGTTTGTTTACAAGGGAGCTCTGCAGGGTACCTTTAATCAAGCTCGCTCTGTTGTTCGTTGGCTCTGCAGACAGCATGAAGAGTACCTGCTGGCTCACCATCCAGGACAACCGCTGCGAGGTCAACATCAACGGAGCCACGCTGAAGTCGGAGTGCTGCTCCACGCTGGGAGCCGCCTGGGGGAGCCCCTGTGAACCCTGCGAGATCGGTCAGTCCACGCATACGTCCATACCCATTTAACAGAACGGTTTTAACCCTATTCAGGACTTTTGGGGTCTTTTGGACCCCAGGCCATTTGGTGTAGATGACAGGTATTTTTTATTTTTAAAGATTTTTATTTAGATTTGAAAAGAGGGACATTTGTCGTGCATTTGGAACCAAAAATACGTCAACTTCTCAGAAAGGGTGTTCAACATAGTATAAAAGTCTATTAGGAATACCAACAAATATTTTGCACATGGATCCCGAAAGACCTTTTACGTATGGCAACATGACAGTCCTGCATAGGGTTAATTAAAGCTGCATACGTTCTGCACTGTGCAACAAATAAAACCAACAGTAAAAGTAATGCCGCTGTGTTGTGAGCATCATATATTCTGCACAGAGTTTCGTACGTAAAATGTTCTCATCACGTCTTACAATCTCCTGCCTCCTCAGACACTGCTTGCTCTCGAGGATTTGCTCGTATGAAGGGCCTCGTCTGCGAAGGTAAGAACGTCTTATGACTTAAAGGTCCCATATTGTGCCAGCAAATTAATTCTGATGTTGTAGTTCTGTTGTAAACGGGCTCTTTCGGTGCCCGTAGCTTTAAACGCAGCCAACATGCTGCTTCCCCCTTCAGGAAGAAGACTCTGTCTGTCTGTGACCGACAGCGGAGAGAAAAATAGTCAGACAGCAGCTGACTGAATGAGTGTGTGACGCCACAACTTCTTATTGCCTCTTTCTGAGTGATAATTTGACATTTTACAGCCTTTGCTTTCACCCAATGTTTGTCGGTAGACGCTGCATTTGTAAGATCAGTGTTGCAGCTGCAGAGCTTGTAAATATCTCTGAAGTGGCTATTGGTCAACGTGTATTTTCATGCATTTCAGAAAGATATGCAAATAAAAGCAGCTTTATTGGTGACTTGGCTGTATTAATATGCAGCTTATGTGAGTGCAGAGAGCAGGAGAGAAGCAAACAGATGTAAACAGTTGCAAAGCTGAAGCTGAAAACACATTCCTTGTGGGTCTTAAAGTTTCCACAGAGCTCTGACCTGTGCTAACGTTAGCCACATTAGTCAGACAACATGCTAACACCATGCTAACCCACTCAGCTCTTTAGATGCTGGGAGTGCATGAAGACTCTTGTGTTCACTCTCGCAGCCGACAGCAGAACATTTGGTTTGGTTCAGACGTTTTAGAGTTTAGCAGAAGATGCTCTAGAAAGTAAATAAACCCGGCGGACTGTGAAGCAGCTGCTCGTTCTGAGCGGATCACCTGGAAGCAGCGAGAGGCGGAGTTATGGAGAGACTTTATAGAGATTGAACTGGACAATTATTGATTCCTCAGCTGGAACGTAGCGCCTCAGTAAAACTCTTACAGGCTCGTAAAACCCAGAGACTATCTGGTTGCGGGGGGCCTTGAGGAAACGTCTTTATATCCTAACAGCTTTTATTTTACACCTCCAAGTTTATAAAAGAACACAATAAAAAGAGATTTTCTCCATATGGGACCTGTAATGAGCGGATCGTTTTGTCCTTGTAATGTGACTTAACATCCTCCCTGCAGATTCCTGTGTTTCACCTTGTAATCATGACTCCTTAAATGTCCCGCTCCCTCCAGACATTAATGAGTGCGAGGTTTTCCCTGGAGTCTGCACCAACGGCCGCTGTGTGAACACTCAGGGCTCGTTCCGCTGCGAGTGCGCCGAGGGCCTCACCTTGGACAGCACCGGTCGCACATGTGTGGGTGAGTAAAGAAATCGCACATCAGCTCGTGAAACAGCTGCACCAAGGGGCCAAAATGTGGACTCAGAGATGACTGTGTTCTTCATAACCTTCCAGACATGCGAAGCGAGCAGTGCTTCATGAAATGGCACGAGGACGAGTGTGGCCAGCCGCTGCCTGGAAGATACCGCGTGGACATGTGCTGCTGTTCGGTGGGCGCCGCCTGGGGCATCGACTGTGAGGAGTGTCCCAAAGCAGGAACACCGGAGTACAGAGCCATCTGTCCTCGAGGGCCCGGCTTTGCCAACAGAGGAGATATCCTGACCGGCAGACCTTTCTACAAAGGTACCACCACTCGAAAATTACTGAACGTGAACAAACCTCCTTTTACCCAGACTGCTTTCTGGCTGCATTGTGGCACATGCAAAGATCCAGATGTTGTCATAGGTATGAATGACTTTCAGTGTAATTGTGGGATTCTTTTAAGATCTGCATTAATCTGAAATGAGCAGTACTGATAAATGTCCAGCTTTGTGAGACTGGCTGGTCACAAACCAAAGTGTTGTTTGACTTGATTATGACATTAGATGAAAGCCAGCGGGTTTCCAAAGTCATCATGAGAGGAATGTGATTGTTTGTGCAAAATTTTGAGCCACTTTTTGGAGAAGAAGTAAAGATATTTTACCTGAAATGTCACCAAGATTCATCCAGTTAGTAGATGTTCCATAGTAATCCATCTAACCGACCAGGTTTAGCTGCTTGCATGTTACGGAAAAGATTTCAGCAATACTCATTCTGGTTAAGCTTTATGCAGATAAGTGTGTTCACAGTGAGAGAGAGTATAACCTTCAAACGAAGCCTCTTTGCGTATGTGAGGCTCACAGTTATCTGACCAGAGTCCATTCATACAGTCATATACCTGCTTAATCCCGTAGAGGGTTGCAGGAGGCTGCAGCCTGTCTCAGCTCAGATGGGTTTCCATTACAGGGCTCGCACGAGGAGACAAACAACCGTGCACGCTCACACTCACTCCAGTGACCAATTCACAATCACAAGCCAGCCCATCATGCAGCTCCTTGGACTGTTGGTGGAAGAAGACCGACACAAGGAGAACATACAAACTCCACCCAGAAAGACCTGCAGATTCCATCCCAGAACCTAAAAATAACATGAATTTCTATTGTGCTCGTGCTTCTTTGCAGATGTGAACGAGTGCAAAGTGTTCAACGGCCTGTGCACATATGGAACCTGCAGAAACACCATCGGGAGCTTCAAGTGTCGCTGCAACAGCGGCTTCGCTCTCACCGCCGAGGAGAGGAACTGCACAGGTACGAAGGGCTTTACGATTGACCAAACGTTCCCGTCACACATGACGAACGCAAAGCGAGCTTCCTCTTGTCGTGTCCTCGTGTTTCAGACATTGACGAGTGTCGCATCTCCCCCGATCTGTGCGGCCACGGAACGTGCGTCAACACGCCGGGCAGCTTCGAGTGCGAGTGCTTCGAAGGCTACGAGAGCGGCTTCATGATGATGAAGAACTGCATGGGTGAGTTTGATCCACAATCACACACGCAGAGAAGATAAAAGTTTATTAATCCTGAGGAACATTCTGGAGCCAGATATTGGTCAGAAAAAACTGAATGACATGAAGTAAGAAATGCAGTTCCTAGAAAGCAGAAAAACAATAAGATATATGTAATAGGTGTGATGCATTGCTAAAATACAATAGGTAAGATAAAATAAGGCGGTAAAAAGTAATGCTGACAGCGACACTGAGGTAATAAGTAACATCACACATGATAATATGAAATATTGCTCCTGAAAATCTGATTTAAATGAAATATTGCGCAATATACCGACAATGTTGTACATGGAAGCAACATGTGACACTGAAACTGATACTGAACAAACTATGGATGAGAGTAATTTTGCAAATGATCTTGATATTAATACTTAGATTTAAGTATCATGAGGCTGTCATTCGTGCAGAAAGTGGAGGCGTTATACAGTTCGATGGCCACAATACACACTATCTTGAAAACAGGTGAAATCAGTCCAGTTCGTTTTGTCGTCTAAACGCTTTTTCTCCTTTTCCAGACATTGACGAGTGTGAGAGGAACCCCCTGTTGTGTCGGGGAGGAACCTGCCTGAACACTGAAGGCAGCTACGAGTGTGAATGTCCCACCGGACACTCGCTCAGCACCGATGGATCTGCCTGTGAAGGTGAGGTTATGCATCCTCGTTTATTCTACGCCTGCTGCATGTCCAGATGTGTGTAGCTGGTGGACTCATCACAACAGTCGCATGATTCATTTTGTTAAAACAGCTGCATAGAAAAGGCTCAGATCTTGAAATCTTCTCCAAGAATGAGATGTTATTTTTCATTCTAAGCTGATGTGATGTTTAATTCTCTTTACGTGTTGGATGTTTCAGACGTGAACGAGTGCGCTCTGAGCGACAACTTGTGCAAGAACGGCCAGTGCGTCAACATGCCGGGAACCTACCAGTGCTCCTGTGACACCGGTTACCAGGCGACACCGGACAGGCAGGGCTGCGTCGGTGAGTCCCACGAAAAGCAGAAGCGTTGACCCCCGTAGCTTATTCGACTTCATTCTGTGTTTCTCATCGAGTTGTGAACGTGTCGTCCGACCTCTCCTTGCAGACATCGATGAGTGCACCATCATGAACGGAGGCTGCGAGACTCACTGCACCAACTCGGAGGGCAGCTACGAGTGCAGCTGCAGCGAAGGCTACGCTCTCATGCCCGACCTCAGGACCTGTGCAGGTAAAAAAAAAAATACAGGTGTTGTCAGGTCTCCTGCATTCTGCAATACGACTCAAGATGTTTGTCACATAGTCAAACAGTACGAGCAGTAAAATGCAATGCAGCTGTTCTACAGTGATGAGCAACAACAAGAAGATATGATTAAAAACACAGAGGAAAACATCGTCATAAATAAGATAAAGTTTAGTAAATGTTAGCTGGATACACAACACATGGAAAAAGCAGGACAAGAAAGCACAACAAGGCTAAAAATAAAGATATCATAAAGATGATGTACAACTTTACATGTACGGGATGAATAATATAACTAACTGATGGACACATTTAGTGTGTAGAACTGTAGACATTTTGAAGTAAAGTGCAGTAAGATAAGATAAGCCTTCATTAATCCCACATTGGAGACATTAGCAGTGTTACAGCAGCAAAGGGGACAATGCAAAAAATGTTGGGACATTAGTAGAAATATAGAAAATGAACAAGAAATGAGAACTGTTGATAAGGTGCACATTCTTCCACATGTAGATATCGCACAGATTCCTCTAAATGTGGAAAGTAACGATGTTCTATATGTATAAAAACATCAACATTACACAGAGATAAAGTGTATGAAGAACAAAAATGTTCACAGAGCTTTTTAAATGCACAAAAGTTTGATAAAGCTCAGGTTTGCATTCAGTAAACATTGTGAAAGCGTTAGAAGAGTGCTTCCATGTGCACACATCTATGCACACATATACTTGCTTCCGCTCTGTTTTGGAGTAACCCTTCTCTCTGCTGCACCTGTTAGACATCGACGAGTGCGAGGAGACTCCAGACATCTGCGACGGAGGCCAGTGCACCAACATTCCCGGAGAATATCGCTGCCTGTGTTACGACGGCTTCATGGCTTCCATGGACATGAGGACCTGCATCGGTGAGACCAAAGCTACACTTAAAAATACATGCTTCCATATTTAAATCTATTCTGTCATCTTGTTATTCTATTTTTTTCATCCTGTCTTATATCTAAAGATAGACGTGTTTGCGTCCTTTGGGACTTCCTCTGTCAGTCTCTTTCTCTGTCACCGTGCTCTCCGAGGTGGGAGCGTTTCTTACGTAACCTGTGTCTGTCCGCTCCTGTCTGCCCAGATGTGAACGAATGTGATCTGAACCCAAACATCTGTCTCCACGGCGACTGCGAGAACACCAAAGGCTCCTTCATCTGCCACTGTCAGCTGGGATACTTTGTCAAGAAGGGATCGACGGGCTGCACAGGTAAAAACATGACCGGGGGGCCGAGCTGTCGCCGAGAGGATCAGAGAGTCCAGACGGTTCATTCACGCAGGCAGCAGCAGCTTCAGGGCTTTATTTTAGAAATTCATTATTAACTCATAGCATCCGAGGACGTCATCACCAGAATCACTGCTAACAGATTTCAAACTGCTCTTGTTCGTGCTGTCATTTACTAAAGGAGCATTTTTCTGCAGCAAACTAAAGCTAGTTTTATTAATATTGAATTCTTTTAGTGTTTATTTTGATTTTCTACTGGCTTTTGCAGAAAAATTGCTATCATTGAAACACCATAAAGGAGTTTGGTCAAACAATTTCAAATTTTCTGGTTTGTTTAATGTAAATATGTGAGTTTTGCTCATTTCTAGTCAACAAATTTTTACTTTCAGACCACTTTAGAGCCTGAAAAACCAAATTCTTATCTAGTTTTTTGTACTTTAAGAAGACAAAACTTGGCGGAAACTTGCTGTGTTTCTTAAATTCACTTATTTCTTTCCATAATAGTGCAAAGATATCTGAGTTAAAACAGAATTCAGTTTCTAAACCAGGAAACATAGAATTTATCTCACTGTAACCAGAAGCAGCTTCACAGATGGTACAAAAATGACTTCAACTGAGACTGTAAGTTCTCGATGTGAAATGTAGAAAAAAAGCTCCTTAAACTTAGAAAATAAAAAAGGAAAACTGGACATTTTTTCTGTGACTAATTGACTCAACTTAATAACGTAAGTTTATTGAACTTTTTTGCTCGAGTTGAGTTCATTTATTTCATTTTCACTCCTCAGAAGATAACTCGTGAAGTCAATCTAATGCCAGCAGAGGAACTTAAACTCTACGCTGAATGAATAGATTTACGGTGTAGAAGATAAAAGTTGTTTAATTGGTTAACACTGATCCTCGTATCTTCCCAGACGTCGACGAGTGCGAGATCGGAGCTCACAACTGCGACATGCACGCCGCCTGCATCAACGTGCCGGGAAGCTTTAAATGTCGCTGTCGAGACGGCTGGGTGGGAGACGGCATCAAGTGTGTGGGTGAGTGTGTGTCCAGACTGTCTTTTCTGTTCTGTGTCGCAATGTGAGATTAAAAGACAACACAAAGGAGTGAAAGCGTCTCTTAAAGTTTCACGCTACTCGTCGTCTTCCTGCAGATCAAGACGAATGCTTGGCAGAGGACCACAACTGTAACCCCAACGCCGACTGTGTCAACACGCCGGGATCCTACAGGTGCACGTGCAAAGAGGGATTCAACGGAGACGGCTTCTCGTGCTCTGGTAGGTCACGAACACTGGGGTGCTTGCATTGGCTCCCTGTTTTCAGATCAAATCAAACTTCTGTGTGGTGCACATTTAAAAGCAAAGTGCTGCACATATTAATAGACAGACAGCAACACGATTACATGCAAAATGTTAAAAAAATAAACACATTTTCACAGAATAAAATACTACAAGAGGCTAAACAGCATAGCAACTTAAAAATAAATAAGAACTATTAAGACCATTAGGAGCAGAGTTATTGTAAACGTGGGATTTTTCTTGGAAATATCTTCTGATTAAAAGAGGAAAGCTTTGCATCTTCTCCTGCCTTTCATTTTCAGTGTCTATTTATGCTTTTACATGTTTTTTTAGGCTTGAATTGTCTTATTATTAGCTTTTAAGAATTAATTTTTTATCCTTCTGTTACTAAAAAGGTCTTTGTAGACTTTCTGTTTTGCACACAGTTTCAAAATGTGGTTGCACTGTTGTCTTGTGCTGAATTGCAATGACAATAATCCTAATTTCTGTGTGTTCTGTTGCAGACATGGACGAGTGCGCGGACAACGTGAACCTGTGTGAGAACGGCCAGTGTCTGAACGCTCCTGGAGGTTACCGCTGCGAGTGCGAGATGGGCTTCACTCCTACAGAGGACAGCAAAGCCTGTCAAGGTGCAGCTCTCGTCCTCCTCGCCGCTCTCCGTTTCACTTCCCCTCGCAGGAAGCAAGTCTGACCGACGTTTCTCCCTCTCTGCCACAGACATCGACGAGTGCAACTTCCAGAACATCTGCGTGTTCGGGACGTGCCAGAACCTCCCGGGGATGTTCCGCTGCGTGTGTGACGACGGTTACGAACTGGACCGCAGCGGAGGAAACTGCACCGGTTAGTCGCTGAAGCTCTCCAGCGCTTGACGTGGAGCAGACTCGGAGCTTGGCGGAGTCTCTCTGAATATAAAGCCTGTGTTTATGCATCTTCCCTGCTTCTTTCGCCAAACTTCAAATTTACTGCTTTGGTTGTATTTCTTCATTTGAGTCTAATAAAAACCGTATGTCATGATGTTATCTGTCGTCTCCGCTACCGATTTGGCTAAAACTGCAGATTGAAATGCAATTATTTTGTCCGCCTGGCCAGCAGTTTGGCAACTATTCAGTGTTTGTTTTGGGAATCTTTTGTTTTTAATCTGCACGGTCTTAAATAAAACTAAACTGAAATGCGTGTCGCTGTGTTCTGCAGATTTCAACGAGTGTGCAGACCCCGTGAACTGCATCAACGGACTCTGCGTGAACACGCCAGGCAGCTACCTGTGCAACTGTCCGGCCGACTTTGAGCTGAATCCCACCGGAGTCGGCTGCGTGGGTGAGTCACGAGGAGAGATCAGAATATCTCATACATAAAGGCAGTTAAAGGTGATTGACATGCTGGATTAAAATATTTTCTTCCAGTTCTTCCACACTTTATCTCAGATATTAGACATTAAGGTGGATCCAGATGTTTTTGTTTGGACACGATAATCGATGGCAGCGTGAGCAGCTTGTTGCTCAGCTGGAGAGCAGGATTCCTCACCCACTTATACACAATGATTAACCGACATTATTAAAACTGAAAGAAATCAGACGCTCACCTCAACATTCGAGCAGGAGACTCCAGGAAATAAGGGCTCCTTTTTTTTGGATACATGAATTGAATACAGAGCTTGTAAATGTGTGGTCAGTGCGGGTCTTTGTGGAGGCAATTAAGTCGACGGCACTATGCATAGTTTGCCAGCAGAGACTTTCATGTTTTGTTGTTGCTTTTGTGTTCATGGGTTGACGCTGGTGTCCGTTCTTGTGATGCTCAAGTGGCTGAACACACTCGTGCAACTGTGCTAGAAATGCATGGACTGAAAAAACAAGGACAGACTCAGAACAAAGATCAGGAACTGGGCAAGAACAATAAATATAGCATCTCACAATGTACAGACAAACAGGGGCGGATATCACACTTAACTGACCGGGGTTACAGAGCTCGATTGGAAGAATCTAGAGGACGAGCAGCAGAGTAGTTAGAAAGTGGTAGGTGTGTCGGGAGGAGAGCGTGATCCAGCTCTGTCATTGAGGTGGTCCTTGTATCCAGCCTCCTGTGCAGCTGCCTTCACTCCTGCAATTAAGTCTGAGAGCGACAACACAGCCACACCCAGAGAATGCACAAGAGACGGAGGGAGGCAGGACACGGACTCACGTTTCCTCTCTTTCTCAGACACTCGTATCGGGAACTGCTTCCTGGAAATCCTCGCTCGTGGAGACGGAGGAATCTCCTGCAGTGCGGAGATCGGAGTCGGCGTGACCCGAGCGTCCTGCTGCTGCTCCCAGGGAGGAGCCTGGGGGAACCCCTGTGAGCTCTGCCCGGCCGGCAACTCCAGTAAGAACGGCTGCGCCATCAGTTATTTATAGTATTTACTGCCTCCATATGTCACGAGTAAAATACTTGATTTGTTGGTGAATCACTGACTCTTTTTGTCGTTTGTTTCTGTCTTGTCTGCAGCTGAATATAAGACTCTCTGTCCCGGTGGAGAAGGCTTCAGACCGAACCCCATCACTGTCATCCTGGAAGGTAAAGCATCCATCTTCCCCTGTTTACTAACTGTGTATAAAGCAGCAAAGCACTAAACTTCGACTGCAGGATTTCAACAGCGTAATCTAACACAAAAATCAATACGTCGGTGACATTAATGGATGTAACAATTTGAAATCTCTTCTAGACATCGATGAGTGCCAGGAGCTGCCGGGTCTCTGCCAGGGTGGAAACTGTGTGAACACATTCGGCAGTTTCCAGTGTGAATGTCCAGCAGGCTACTATCTGAACGAAGAGACTCGCATCTGTGAAGGTAAGAACGAAACTACTTCAGCTCTCCTTTTGTGTTGCATAAATCACAGGAAAAGGTGGGAAAAAAACACAGATACTGGTGGTGGGTTCTTACACATTGATTCCTCAGGAACCAAAAGGCAACCAGTTTTTAATCTTGTGAAAATCGGATTGGTCTTCTATTGATATGAACCTCTTCAGCCCACTAAAAAGGGTGCATGGCTCTTCTAAACTGAAATGTGGCTATGCGTTCCCAAAATACATGCATGCCAGGTCGCAAACATATAATGCTGCTCCCACCAAAACAGTCTGCACAACAGAACCCATAAGTTTAGCCACAATACTAAATGCAAAAGCCATTAGTAAAGCAGTTTTAAATATCCCGGACGAGTCCCCATTTGTCACAAATTGGCTCAAAGAAAGTGACAATTAGGGAGTCAATGCTAGAAATTGAATTGAATCAAAAGAAATTCATTAAAACACAAAATGACAGTGGAGTGTGAAAGTCTGCGGTATCAATCTTGGCCACGATACTAAATGCAAAAGCCAAAGAAGGTGACAAGTATGGAAGAGGCTTATTGAATAATGAAAGTGAAACAAAGAAGGATTGAAAGACGTGGAAGAGTGAACACATGTGCCAGTTTTCATCCACGTGAGCTGCGTTATCCGAACACAACCAGTTCCTCTATGAGGTCCCTGAACCTGTCACGCACCTATTAGGGACAAACAAACAAACCTGCTCTCACTTCATATTTCTGACCATCTTCATTTGCAGATATCGACGAGTGCACGACTCACATTGGGATCTGCGGACCCGGTACTTGCTACAACACTCTGGGCAACTACACCTGTGTGTGTCCACCTGAATACATGCAGGTCAACGGAGGAAACAACTGCATGGGTGAGCAGTCGAGTACCTCCTCGCTGCCTTCAAAAAAACATTTACATCCCAGTCGTAAAATCTGTGTCAAACTCTTCCTTCCTGCTCGTGCTGCAGACATGAGGAAGAGCGTGTGCTACCGCAACTTCAACGACACGTGCGAGAACGAGCTGTCCTTCAACATGACCAAGAAGATGTGCTGCTGCGCCTACAACGTGGGCAAAGCCTGGAACAAGCCGTGCGAGGCCTGTCCGACTCCTGCTACCTGTGAGTTCCAATAAAACCCTTAAACACTATGGATTGTCCCGGTAAAGCTTTTCATCAATCTGAGTCATTTAATACTGGGTATCTGCTGCTATCGAGTCCCATTTTCCTGGATGATACATCAAGTCAACTTCAAATCCAGTGTCGCCGTTTGACAGCTGATTAGCGGAGAAAAAACATCGATGTCTGCATCCAAGCAGCTCCTAAATGATAGCTAACCTCTGAAATGTATTATAGAAACAGTAGGAGGTACTGTGGCTCCAACAGGTGGAGAAAACCAACAGCAACAAGCCACTCATCCAGCACGATGAATGTAGTCGCGTAGTGATGCTTTCCAGTTAAAAATATTTCCACACTAATGAACCTTTAAGCAACACCAATCAAACCTGAAGAAACCTCTTGTACTCCAGCTCCAATCATCCAGATCAGCTTGAGATATACCTACTTAAAACATTTCTGAATATATTCCAATGACCCTCTCCTGTGTTTTTTCTCAGCTGAGTACCAGTTACTGTGCGGCAACCAGGCCCCCGGCTTCATCATCGACATCCACACTGGCAAACCGATCGGTGAGACCGACACCTGCAGGCGATCAGAGCTGTGATGATGATCATTTGCGTTCCACCTGTTACATTCTGCGTTTGGTGTTTTCCTGCAGATATCGACGAATGCAGGGAGATTCCCGGCATCTGCGCCAACGGAGTGTGCATCAACCAGATCGGGAGCTTCCGCTGTGAATGTCCGATGGGCTTCAGCTACAACAACATCCTGCTCATTTGTGAAGGTGCGACTCTTCTCCTCGTTTTCCCTTTTTGTTGTTGTGTCTCATCCAACAGATAATGATAACTCCCCCTCCTGTGCAGACTCACTGTGCATTTCTGTTTTCTTTTTTCACACACACTGGAATCTCACCGCACTGTGCTGCTGAGTCACTTCGTGCCAACGCATCTTATATAAAACACAGCATACACTTTCCTCCCGCGCTACTATTTCTATGCTAAACCACACCGACACACACACACACAGACTCTCACAGTCAGTGCAGTGCACACTCAGTCTCTGGCCGAGAGGCAGTTTTACAATCATTCCACTCAGCGCAGTTAATGCCGCCCTCACCAACATGAATTATGTCCTTGTAAAGGCAGGTATAGTGGCTCTGAATGGATCTCCTGCCAGAACCATCAATCATCCGCAACCTGCCAGCGACTGTCTGAACTGTAGCGGAGCCAAAATGGCGGCGTAGTGTTTTCTCTCCTGCTGTCGACGGGCCGACAGCCGGCTCCGACCAGACAGTTACAGAGCCTGTGATTGATGTCCACTGTTTCTCTCTTTCTTCCCCCGGCCCAGATATTGATGAGTGCAACAGCGGGGACAACCTGTGCCAACGCAACGCCAACTGTATCAACATTCCCGGCAGCTACCGCTGCGAGTGCTCGCCAGGCTTCAAACTGTCTCCCAGCGGGGCCTGTGTGGGTGAGTCCAGCCTGTCTGACAGGCCTGAATGGAGGTTCCCGGCTTAAAATAGCAGCGAGGACAGATTGAGGGATCCTGTTTGGGGATGTGAGGAACATATCAAATGTGCAGGTTTCTTGTTGAGGGAAAAAAATCTGCAACTGCTGAGATACGGCATCTTTTAATCGACTTGTTCATGCATGGTTTGGTTTTATTCCGCCATAAACAAACATGACGGGCGTTTAGAACTGAGTGCTCATCAGCATTTAATGATTATTGCTGCAACTGTTTGCTGTAAAAGTGACAAGAGTTGAACCAGAGTGCTGTGCAATTAAAATGGAAGCCCATAAGACAACAGTAAAACACAATAACTAAAAGATAAACGTGCATAAAAACACAATAAAGTGATGAAGAATAAAAGAAACAACACAATAACAGCTGAAGTCAGGGTGTCAAGCTCGAATGCTAAAAAGGAGAAGTTAGTTCTCAGTATCGACTCAAAGTTTCTGAGCAGTTCTCACATAAAACGGTAAACTGTTGCAGAGATTCAGAGCAGCCACCGTGAAGGTTCGATTGCTTTTATTTTTATGTCTAGATCTTAAAAACATCCAAGAGCATCTGGTTCCTTGGTGCTTTATTCGATGTATAAAGAGTTCTGCCAAATACGGCGCTGCCAACCTAATTAAAACCTCAAAATCAAACTATATAACCTTAAAATCAATCCTGAACCAGACAGAAAGCCAGTGGAGAGTGATGACGCTTGCTGTTAAAAGACAAGCAGCTGCATCTTGTACGTACAAAAAATTACAATCGTCCAACCAAATCGGGGATAAAGGCATAAATACCTGTTTTATAGTGTTTGGGGCAGAGATCAGCCTCCACTTCACTAAAAACCTTTATTGAAAAAACTGGTTTTGATTCGTCTGTCAAATTTAACGGAGCTGTTAAAGCTCATACCAAGAAATTCTTTTACAAAAAAAAGTGAATATATGAAGCCAGAAGATCGTGAGTGCCATTGAGGTCAGCCAAAAAGCTTGGTCGACCAGATATAGCAATCTTATTTTCATGAAGATTGAGAAAGATTTTTACTTTATCTACAAGACAATGAAAAGAAATCTGATGTTTTTTAAGTATGGACGTATATGCAATGAAAACAGTATTGGGCCCAAAATGGAGCCCTGAGGGACGCCACAAGTAACAGGGGCATTGGAGGACTTTGAAGTTCCTGCACACTGTAAGACAACTATCCTGTCAAGCAGCACCGGAATAGGAGAACGTAGATTAAAAACTCAGTAAAAACCCTAACCCTAATCCGTTCTGTTCTGCCGTCTTCTTCACAGATCGTAATGAATGCCAGGAGATTCCTAACGTGTGCAGCCACGGCGAGTGCATCGACACTCAGGGAAGCTACCGCTGCATCTGCCACAACGGCTTCAAGGCCACGGCTGATGAGACCATGTGCATGGGTGAGGAGGACGACGGCGCTGTGCGTTTGCAGGTTTTTCATGTCTCTACCTGCTCTAAATGTCATGTTTATTTCAGACATCGATGAGTGCGACCGACAGCCGTGCGGCAACGGAACCTGTAAGAACACCGTGGGATCCTACAACTGTCTCTGCTTCCCCGGATTTGAGCTCACGCACAACAACGACTGCATGGGTACGAATCACTCACTGTCCTTTCACACAAAGGTCAGCAGCAGTTAGCGCTTTCCTTTAAAGGTCGAAGCCTTGACGAGGGTTTAGATGTCGTTTTATTAAAGATTACACATGCTGCCCTTTTCGGCTGCGGCATTACGTCTGGACAGACATCGGATCCAATTTAGACGTACAGATTGCATTTGTGTCTTTGAAATAAAAACTTTGTGCACGAGCCAGGAAAAAAACAGGATGTCCTTCTCCGTTTGTGCCTTTCTGCTTGGCGACGGTTTAATCGTCTGCACTTTCACCTTTTTTGCAGACATAGACGAGTGCAGCGCCCTGCAGGGTCAAGTGTGCAGGAACGGACAGTGCATCAACGGGCTGGGCTCCTTCCAGTGTCTCTGCCACGAAGGTTACGAAAACACGCCCGATGGGAAGAACTGCATCGGTGAGTCACCAGTCACATTTATTAGGATAATAAAAGCAGTGTGGGGGTTATAGCCGATAAAGAGCATCCCTTTTTTTTTCACAGATATCAACGAGTGCGTGAGTCTGCCCGGCACTTGTTCTCCGGGAACTTGTCAGAACCTGGACGGGTCCTTCAGGTGCATCTGCCCTCCTGGTTACGAGGTGCAAAACGACCAGTGCATAGGTGAGAACGTCAGCTCAGACGACATGCTTGGGTCCTGATAAACGCCTCCACCCAAACACCAGGGAGTCGGAGGCCATCTGCTCCGACAATCACATTATTCTCACCTCCTTCTTCTTCTTCTTCTTCTTCTCTGACCTCCTTTAACCTCCCAGATATCAACGAGTGCGACGTGGAGCCCAACATCTGCCAGTTTGGCACCTGCACCAACACCCCCGGCAGCTTCCAGTGCTCCTGCCAGCCGGGCTTCGTTCTGTCCGACAACAAGCGCCGCTGCTACGGTGAGAGGAGCTGTTAGTTAGCGTCAGGGATGCTGAGGGTCACGTATGAACAGTTTAAACTCCTCACAGAGGGCAGGGAGGAGGAGGAGGCTCTCGGCTGTTGTCCTGTGGATAACAAAAAAAAGTGTGATTTTTCTTCTTTAACAATGCACAAAAATATCAATTAAACTGTAAAAACTAAATGTGAATTTTTAGTTTAACACACCATTAAAAACCTGTAGCTGTAAATAAAGCCCAGAATTTACATTATTTTTAAAGAAAAAGTCCATAAAAATTTCCCTTTTTATTTAATAGGGGAACCCGATAAAGTCAAGTGTGTTACTATAAATGTATTTCTGAAATTAATATATATTAATTCCATATATATTATAGGTAATTTCATTGCTTTCACAAATATACATACTCTTTATTAAACATTATAAAGCTAAAAAAACACTAACTTATATGGGATTATGGCGAGAAAATGTGTTTTAATTATGGAAAATTATTGTATTTTTATTTTATAGCTATTTTCCATTTGTTTACAGTATTTGTGGTGCCCCAACTGCTGGGAAAAAAAAGGTTTTGTTTGTTTTCTACCTCAACTGTTTTACCAAGTAAAGCATTGAACAATAAAAAAAGAGTTCTAAACTAGCTTGATGAAAAAATAATAGTTTAAAGATCCAGTTAAAAACGGGGAATGGAACAAATCAACAAGCAGTAATGGTGAGTTGTCAACGATTCTACAAAAAAAAACCTTCATAAACTTCTAATTAAATTGTATTCTGCCGTATGTCCATTAAATATCCTCCATTAAACTGAACAAGCCTCAAAAATGCTCATGACCTCGTGTTAAATTAAGGCCAGAAAATGTATTTAAATATGGAAAATTACTGCATTTTCTATGAGAAGATTTTTAAAAAAGAAATATAGTCCTGCATATTTTTGGCTGCCATAATACAGCCACATGTTTCTGAATTCACTAGAAGCTCGTTTTTCTTTTCGGCAGATACCAGAGAGAGTTTCTGTTTCACCAAATTTGAGGCTGGAAAGTGTTCGGTTCCCAAAGCCTTCAACACCACCAAGGCCAAGTGCTGCTGCAGCAAGATGCCTGGCGAGGGCTGGGGCCTTCCCTGTGAGCTGTGTCCAAGAGAGACCGAAGGTGTGGAAAACTCGCCTCTTCACTTACAACAAGCACACCATGACATTTGTAAAACTATCAAACTGACCTTCTTTTGTTGTGTTTCCAGCTGCTTTTGACACTCTGTGTCCCTACGGTCACGGAGCGCTGCCCGGACCCGGTAACGGTCGAGAAGGTGAGTCCTGCAGGATCCAAAACAATAAATACGAGGAGATATGTGTCGCTCACTGGGCTCTTGTCAGTAGGCTAATCGTGTCGTGCTCTCTATAGATATGAACGAGTGTGTGGATACCCCGGGCATCTGCCAGAACGGCATCTGCATCAACACGGATGGTTCTTTCCGCTGCGAATGTCCGTTTGGGTACCAGCTGGATTACACTGGAGTCAACTGCGTCGGTGAGATGGCTAAACTATCCAGCATGCAAAGTTTACTGCCAACCCTAGAGTGAGTATTGATCATGAAGCAGCCACAGTTAAACAGGCAGAAAAAGCAACGGCTGCAGAGATTCTTCTCTCAAACTGCGACCTCTCAGATCTCAGAAGGTCTGGATGACTGCGACTCCAAAGGAATGACCTCTGAGATCTTCATCTTACCGTGTCATCAGAATCAATATTAGCACCGACTTCTGATGCGTTCTGTTATTTTCCTGGCGCCAGACTTGAACGTTTATCCTGCATTACAGCTTTGATCTACGTTCAGATTCAAGCTGCTAATGAAAGCTTTTAAAATCTCCTTCCTCCAGACACGGATGAGTGCGACGTAGGAAACCCGTGTGGAAACGGAACCTGCACCAACGTGGTGGGAGGCTTCGAGTGCTCCTGCCAGGAGGGCTTCGAGCCGGGACCCATGATGATGTGTGAAGGTCGGCGTTCGGAATCGGTCAAACTCACTTTCATGAATGTACTCAGTTCTGGGCGACAGTAGATTAAACCGCGCTGCCTCTGTTTGACTCCAGACATCAACGAGTGCTCCCAGAATCCTTTGCTCTGCGCCTTCCGCTGTGTCAACACTTTCGGCTCGTACGAGTGCATGTGTCCTGCCGGCTACGTGCTGCGAGACGACCAACGCATGTGCAGAGGTGAGCGGAGGCAGCAGATATACGATACGCAAAGTGTCACCTTCACTGTATCGTCTTGACTCCTGTTTTCTGTCTTTCTCGCTTCGTTTCTTTGCACCAAACAGTGAGTAGTGACTCTTTGAAGCAGGTTTTTTTGGGCTTTAGCTTTATAATAGCGCCTCCTGACCTTCTCTGATTTCCCTCCTCAGATCAGGACGAGTGCTCAGAAGGTCTGGACGACTGCGACTCCAAAGGAATGACCTGTAAGAACCTGATCGGTACCTTCATGTGCATCTGCCCTCCTGGCATGCAGCGCCGACCGGACGGAGAGGGATGCATGGGTGAGTGGAAACACTTCGGCATCTAAACGTTGATGGGTTTAAACTCTTCTGCGCCGTCCTCACGCTGCTGTTCTTTGTTCTGCAGACCTGAACGAGTGCCGAGCCAAACCGGGCATCTGCAAGAACGGACGCTGCGTCAACACGGTGGGAAGCTACCGCTGCGAGTGCAATGACGGGTTTGAGCCGAGCTCCACTGGAACCGAATGCATCGGTAAGATCACTGGAGAACCTGTCGACTCACACTGGTGCGCAGCGTGATGAAGAGCTAGAAGCAGCTCCAGAAGCCCGAGAGATTGATTAGTTTCATCCGGAGACGTTCCAATCAAGTTCCCCCAAATGCAATCCAAGTCAGGTCTGCGACGCCTGATTCCTTTTTCCTATAAAATGTAGCTGCACGGTGCAAACCTCAAGCAAACTTATTACAGTAAAACCCACTGTGCACGCTTGACGACTGCATAGCTCTGCAGTGCGTTAAGAAAAAAATTTATTTCTGCATCCAGATTCTTGTTTTCCACTTACTGCAGGACAAAATAAATAAGTAAACAAATTAAAGTATGTCTTCAGTAACAGCTCATATCACAATTCAACCTAATGCTGCATTATAGTTGGAAAAATAAAAGAAAATACAATCAAAATTCCATTCTGTGTAGCAGTCGCAGCAAATAACATTTTTAAAAAAAAAGAATTTCGCTCAGTGCAGCTTCGTAGTAAAGCTCACAAATTAAAAATGAACAGCTGAAGCTTCATTTTCACATCAAAGTGTTGAAGCTGCAGCTAATAAAAGACCTCGTAGTTGATCAGGATCGTGCTGTAAAGCTCTGATGCTGCATAAAAAGCTGGCTTGAATCACCTGGAAACAGAAAAGAATTATGGCACTTTTCTCTACAGGAGCTCCAAAAGACAGTAAAAACTCTGTAATCTTTCTGGCCTTGCTGTTGACTTTTATAGGCGCCGGGTCAACCTGAAAGTATTGAATACAGCTCGCATTGCAGATATTAAAGTCGCTTCTGGATTGCTTTTGTTTTTTAAATTTAAAGTGTTTCCACGCTGCAGATATTTTAGCTGCATCCTGCCTCAAATTGCTCCATTTCTGAGCTTGTAGACAAAGAACTGGGCTTAGATTTGGCCATTACAAAAAATGCTGTGATGAATACCTATCATGAAGATCAGATTCCTAGTTTCCCCTCCAACCTGTCCTCCCCTGGTTTCCTGCAGACAACAGGAAGGGCTACTGCTACACCGAGGTGCTGCAGACGATGTGCCAGCAGTCGTCCACCAACAGGAACAGCGTCACCAAGTCCGAGTGCTGCTGCAACACGGGCCGAGGCTGGGGCTCCCAGTGCGAGCTCTGCCCGCTGCCCGGCACCGTCCAGTACAAGAAGATGTGTCCGCTCGGACCCGGGTACACCACCGACGGCAGAGGTGAGGGTCCCACGGCGGCGTTACAGAACCTCGGCTTTGTTTCTGCTCCCTTTGAGTCGATTCAATCTAATCTCATAATTCAAATAAACCTTTTATGGTTTTCATAAAATGTTTTGAAGCAGTATGACCAGGATTTTACTTTTAGCGCAGTAACAATAATACACAACTGCTGTTGGAGTGGTTTCACCATCATGCCTGCATCGTGCATGGGCAAATATTGGCCATAAATGCAAATATTTTAATAATTCTTCTCTCATCAAGTCTGCCTCAGAATGCCATCATACTCTACCCTTTTAAAACTCCTATTGGTGGCAATCACAGGAAGAAAAAATCAGCCTCCGAGAGTGAAAAATAAAGGTTTTATGGTCGGTGGAATAGACAGAAATGAGGACAAATTTGCACCATCATATAACTGGTTTGTGTTATTCTGTCAAAGGAGGGTTTTTCCCATTAAAGAGCATATGTGGGTATCAGTGAGTCTGTAATGTTTCAGGACTCCAGCTACAGTATTTCTTAAGTTATGACACAGATTGGCACAAAGAAAATGACGCAAAAATGGACATGACCCACCTTCTTTAAGAAGTTTGAACACAAAAACTAATGTTAGATTTCATACATGGCAATCTCAATTAATATTAAACCCTTAAAAAAACAACCTGTCAAATTGAAGATGGTCAGACGTGAACTTTTTTAAAAATCCGGTTAATCGAGACCAAATGACCCATAAATTAAAATTAAAGTTTGGGAAGCAAACTGAGCAAATAGAGCCACACCAAGTTAAATAAAGTGTCCTGAAACATCTGTGTTCTCGCAGACATCAACGAGTGCCAGGTGATGCCGGACCTGTGCCGTAACGGCCAGTGCATCAACACCATCGGATCCTTCCGCTGCCACTGCAACGTCGGATACAAGACCGACTTCACCGCCACCTCCTGCGTCGGTACGTCTGAGCTCCGTCCCTCCAGTCATCTGTCAGTTCAGCTGCAGGCTTTATTTAAATCTACAGATGTTCTTATTGCTGGTCTCCCTGTGTGAATGTTCCAGACATGGACGAGTGCGCTCTGTCGCCGAAGCCCTGCAACTTCCTGTGTAAGAACACAGAGGGCAGCTACCTGTGCTCCTGCCCCAGAGGATACAGTCTGCAGCCGGATGGGAAGACCTGCAAAGGTACAGGAGTCCTCGTGTTTCCGACCGCGTCCACATCAAATACCATCGTCCTTTATTGATCCCACGGCAGGAGAATGTGCAGCGTGTGTGCAGCAGAGGGGATAGTGCAGAAACACAGAGTAGGAAATATAAATGAGCAAGAATGTAATGATGCACAATGTGACAAGAGTAATGAGTGAAACTGTAGAAAAGTACTGACGCTCCAGAGAGTCTTCTAAATGTAGAAACAACCAAAAGGCACACTGTAAAAAAAACCTGATGTTTTTTGACGGTTTTCAACAGAATTTTTTTTTTTAACAATTTACTGTTATTTCACAGATTTTTGCTCTTTTTGTTAAATTACAGGCAACGAGTGTTAAAATCACAGGAAAAAATAATAATTTACACATTAACCCTAAAAAAAAAATAAAAATGTAAAAAATGTCCACATCAAAAATCTTTATTTTTATAAATGCTAATTCTTTCACAACATTTTTACTGTATTTAAATCAGCAAATCATTATTTGTGCAAATATTTTTTGTTATTTGACAGAAACATTATTATGTATTTTAGGATTTTAAAAAATTTACGAATTTTTAGAGATGTTCTGTTTTGTTAAATTACAGATAATATTCAGTAAAATCACTGAAGAGCGGGTAATTTTACAAAAAAAAAAAAAAAGATAAAAGATATTGGACCTGTCACTTAGTAATTTATTCTTTTACAATGTGTGACAATAAAATTATGCTTTTTTAAAAATTAAGGTAAATCAGCTAGAAATATCAGTATTTTACAAATATTTGCTGTTTTTTTGTATTTTTACCGATTTTGAACGTTCCATCGTTTTTAACATTTTTTCTTCTTGCTGCTCGATATGTTAAAATAATTCTTTTAATTCCTTTTTTTCCACAATGCAGACTTCTTATACATGTAAATAATACTGATATTGCACACAGTCTTCCAAATGTAGAAGATGCACAGGTTATAATTTTAGCATATTTTTGGTTACTTCATTAAAACATGGGGTTGTATTTGATGATCTTTTTAATCTGTCAATGTGATCTATCAAAATACTGGCTGTGTAGTTTCTGTTCATCACTGTACTAAACGGATAATGATTATTAATGATGTTTAAATGACGTATTAGCTTTAACATCGTGTTTCTGAACCGTCTCTCCGTGCCACTCGGTTTTCACGGTGTTCTGCGTTTTCCTCTCAGATCTGGACGAGTGTTCGACAAAGCAGCACAACTGCCAGTTCCTGTGTGTGAACACCATCGGAGGCTTCACCTGCAAGTGTCCACCTGGCTTCACTCAGCACCAGACGGCCTGCATCGGTGAGTCGAGGGACGAGACCGGAGCCGCCCTGCACCGGCTTCGTAGATAGAGACAGAAGATCATAAAGAACGACGTGGTTTAGAGCCGTTTCTCTGCTTTCTGTGTCACGCTCCTGTTACGTTTTTCCTCCCTGTGGCTGCAATATGAAGTCCTTCACGTCTATGGGAGCAGAACAACCGAGATGAAGTAGAGAGAAATCGAACTTATGAACTTTAAATTGCTTAGTTTACAAAAAAATATAAAATTCTTGCCAACTTAACTTTATTTATGAAACAATTTAAAACATCTAGACTGCAAGATACGATAAGATTATAATAAAATCAACAGCACAGCCCACACTAAACAACATGGTTAATCTACTTACTATAGATAATTAACTTCTTGCATTTTTAATTTCTTTCTGTACTTGTCTCCTGTCTGCTCTGTTGTGATGAGAAGAATTTTTCTGACTCTGATTGGACCACGTGGTGTGTTTTTGGCGTATTTTTAAATGACACATGTTGAATAAAGTGATTTTAATTAAATATCCCAATTTTAAAATTAGATTTGATTGTTTTCTGAAGCGACGTCGCATCACACGTGATCGGTTAAATCAAAAAAAGTAGAAAATGTGATCATTCCTCAAGTCTGTTTCTGGTAAACGGTGTAATTTTGACATTTTTCTTTAATCCAACATGTCATCAGAGGGCGACATGTTTAATAGTGTGGATACAAAGTGTGACACCTTTAGAGAACGAAGATCATATTGAAATCACGTATTAATGATGCGTTCCTCTTCTCTTTGCAGACAACAACGAGTGCACTGCTCAGAGCAGTGCTTGCGGTTCTCGGGCCTCCTGCGTCAACACGCCTGGAAGCTTCAACTGTGAATGCTCCAAAGGTTTCTCCCTGGACACGACGGGCATCGAGTGCGAGGGTGAGAACGCTCGATGTTCTTTGCATTCAGTCAAACTTATCGAGGCAGCTGCTTGTGCGCGAACTGAAAATGGAGGAAACTAAAAGTTCTTCTTTTGCTTTCCGTCAGACGTGGACGAGTGCAGCAGCAACCACCGCTGCCAGCACGGCTGTCAGAACATGCTGGGAGGTTACCGCTGCGGCTGTCCTCAGGGATACGTGCAGCACTACCAGTGGAACCAGTGCGTGGGTGAGTTACTGGGACGCCGGGGCAGAAGTCAGCGCAGAGGAACCGCCGAGTGTTAGAATCCTAGAATGAGACGAGTCGTTTTTTAACTGAACGTACAATTATAAAAGTTTTCACCAACAGAAAATGTAGTAGAAATAGAGGAAAGTTCATCCAGGGCTGCAGGGTGGTGCAGTTGGTAGCACTGTTGCCTCGCAGCAAGAAGGTTGCCGGTTCGCGTCCCGGTGGGGGCATCGGGATCTTTTTGAAGTTTGCATGTTCTCCCCGTGCAGCGTGTGTTCTCTCCGGGTTCTCCGGCTTCCTCCCACACAGTCCAGAGACATGTTGAGGTTAATTGGTGATTCTAAATTGTCCGTAGGTGTGAATGTGAGTGTGCTTGGTTGTCTGTCTCTAAGTGTAGCCCTGTGATAGACTGGTGACCTGTCCAGGGTGTCCCCTGCCTTCGCCCTAAGTCGGCTGGGATAGGCTCCAGCCCCCCATGACCCTACTGAGGGTTAAGGTGTAGAGATGATGGATGGATGGAAGTTCATCCACAGATTATTAAGACGAGCTACACCAATAAATCTGCAGATGATCGGTGTTGATTTAGAATTTGAATTAGAATAAAACTTTATTAGTTTAAGTCACAACAAATGACAGCGCAGACACATTACAGTAGAGTTTAGCTCATTTAGAAACAGCTTGAGTCTGATTAAAAGGTTAAACATTCTCAGTCAGTTTATGCTTATGTTAAAACTTCACTGATGTATGATGATCAGGTTGTGAAACTTTTATAAAACATCCCTAAATTGTTTCCCTGGGAGGACGAAATGAAACAACGCTGGGTTTTATAGACGCTCGGAGAATCTGAAATGCAATAAGTCTCCTTATTTTTATCACCAGCCCAGTGTGAGATCTAAAAACGAACCTGCAGCACAAAACAACAGAATAAGATATTTTTATTTCTGTAAGTAAGAAAGCAAACAGCAGCTTTATTAGAGATGAGAGCCACTGATGTTGTTGCAGCTTTTCAGCACATTCTCAACAGAAATGACAAATTCTATTCTAGTCGCAGTAGCATCAGGCGCTGAAGGCAGCCTTTGAAAAATGGCAACGAGTGCATTTTAACAGTAGAAGTAAAAGGATGAGAGAGGTCAATGTCATCTATAGTTTCCTGATTTATTAGATTTAAGAAATCTCTGGGTAGAAATTCAGTATAACACAGATTTCTGATCAATTTCTTACTCCTTACGTGACTGTTTTTTATTTTATCATGGTATTTATTTATATTTTTACTAACGTACCACTCATATCTTATTGCTATTCTATTAAACAGAGCTTTTTTCTTATATTATTATATGTTTTTTAATTGATGTCTGGCACACAAATATTCTTCAGATTTGAAAAACTTCCATCTTACTCTTGTTTTTATTTTTTTCATCTGTGCAGCCATCAAAATGATCAAATGATATATGTAAAGTCAACTTAAAAAGCCTTTTCTCCACAAATGAATCCAAACTGTTGTGTGTATCGGGATAGTTTTTATCATCATACAACAACGTTTATAGTCGTGTTGAATTATAATCTGCTGCATGTTAGTTTTCTGAGGATGCATCACGTGTCGACTCGCCCTCTCACCGATCCGAACCTGCTTTACGTTCCCCTGCAGATGAGAACGAGTGCCAGGGCGGGACGGTTTGCGGCTCCGCTTCCTGCTACAACACGCTGGGCAGCTTCAAGTGCGTCTGTCCGTCCGGCTTCGACTTCGAGCAGAGCGCCGGCGGCTGCCAGGACGTGAACGAGTGTTCGACGGGAACGAACCCCTGCATCTACGGCTGCTCCAACACCGACGGAGGATACCTGTGCGGCTGCCCGGGAGGCTTCTACAGGGCCGGACAGGGGTGAGCGTCTCATTTAATGCCTCGTTCACATCCGGAGGAATCACTGAGGACGTGCTCTTGTTTGTCATGAAGAGTGCAAACACAATCCTGGTTTTAAATGAAGCTACAGTTGAAGCTTTATGTTGTAAAATGTTCCAGGTTTGTGCAGCACCAAAAGTCAAACCAGTTCAACAGAGAGGTTTTGTTTTTGTGGCATCTTCCTGTTCAGAGAAACCAAAGTTTGTCTCGTCTCGCTTCCAGAGACCGACAGAACTTTTTCATCCAATAAGCAGTGATGAAGAGAAGAGCCGTCACAAGCGATGAATCTTAGAGTTAAACTGAATTTTATTAAATCTTACTGTAATCTGATGTTTGAAGAACATTCTCAGGGTATTTCTCATCTTGAACAACGTTCCCACAAGGCTGAACGTTCAAACGTTTTGGCTGCGACGCTCAGAGGATGTTTGGAGGATGTTGTCAGATTCTGTTAAATGATGACTAAAGAAGAACGATGTCAAAAAAAATTGTTTTGGGGATGTAATTGAGGCAGCAGATGACAGAAAGTCTTTTCTTTCCAAATAAAATGTTCCTGGAATGTAACACAGCAAC